AAACTGTAATAAAGATGAGATGACTCTACTTCCTTGAGGAGTCAACTTCACTTGACGCAAGATTAAAATATGTCACATCTGAAGCAACTTGGTGAAGGCTTTCGGACAAGCTTGCCTTACATGGCCAAGTAAAAGTAAAGATGGAAAAAAATCAATCTAAATGCTTATATTCAATTTGTACAAATATTTAAAAGAGTACTACTTAAATATTCACTTGTAAAGAAGTTAAATATCAAAGTATCCCTTGTAAATATGTTCTGCTTTCTATTTGAACGGCTGGATTATAAAGTCTTAAGTAAGATTATAGTTTTACATTGAAACTATTTCATCATTCAGGGATGTATCTCAAAACTGGTTTGTGTATTGCTCCTTATTATCTTGAATCGCATCGTATCGCATCTACTCTGACAATACACAGCCCTAGTTATGTTGAAAATTAAAATTATAGATCTATCAAAAGAATTAATACGTACATGGATAAAGGTGATTATACCGATATAGACCGATAGATAGTAAATTTGAGTCTGTTTGATTTTTACAAATTTTGTCCATCAAAATGCAGGGCAAGTAAATTTGAAGGGTCACCTTGCCCAGTAGGGACAGTGACCCTAGAAAAATTCATCGAGGCCTGTAGCCAACAACATGCAGCGGCCACACTCGACTTTTTCTTAATTCTAAATTTACATCTTTGACTTTGACAGTCAACGACAAGGTCATCATGGTAATTTTTTAATTTGTTCACATATAAAAAAAATCTGTAACTAAACTAGAACTGCCACTGTCATGGCCTGAATATCCCCGCATACCACTTTGTCAGAATCAACAATGGTCAATTAATGCTCAAGGACAACCTCCCTGCCAAATCAGAGGGTAGTAAGCCAGTGCATTGCATAATTATGTAACATGAAGACTGTGGGTCAAAGGAATCTAAGATATTGGGTGAACAAGATTTTTTAATCAAGGCCCCTGTGACCTTGACCTTTGACCCAGTGACCTCAAAATCATTAGGGGTCATCGACTTATCAAGACTAACCTCCATGCAAAATATGAAAACTGTAGGTCAAAGGAATCATAAGATATTGGGCAGACAAGCTTTCTTCAATCAAGGCCCTGTTGCCTTTACCTTGAACCCAGTGACCTCAAAATTAATAGGGGTCATCTACTCATCATGACTAACCTCCATACCAAATATGAAAACTGTGGGTCAAAGGAATCTTTAGATATTGGGTGGACAAGCTTTTTCAGTCAAGGCCACTGTGACCTTGACCTTTGACCTCAAAATCAATAGGGGCCATCTACTAGTCATGACTAACCTCCATGCCAAATATGAAGACTGTGGGTCAAAGGCATCATAAGATATTGGGTGGACAAGCTTTTTTCAATCAAGGCCCCTGTGACCCTGACCTTTGACCTCAAAATCAATAGGGGTCATCTACTCATCATGACTAACCTCCATGCAAAATATGAAGACTGTGGGTCAAAGGAATCTTAAGATATTGGGCGGACAAGCTTTTTCAGTTAAGGCCCCTGTGACTTTGACCTTTGACCCAGTGACCTCATAATCAATAGGGGTCATCTACCCATCATGTCTAACCTCCATGACAAACATGAAGACTGTGGATCAAAGGAATCTTAAGATATTGGACGGACAAGCTTTTTGAAATCAAGGCCCCTGTGGCCTTGACCTTTGACCCAGTGACTTTGACCCAGTGACTTCAAAATCAATAGAGGTCATCTTATCATCATAACTAACCTCCATGCCAAATATGAAAACTGCGGGTCAAAGGAATCTTTAGATATTGGGTGGACAAGCTTTTTCAGTCAAGGCCACTGTGACCTTGACCTTTGACCTCAAAATCAATAGGGGCCATCTACTCGTCATGACTAACCTCCATGCCAAATATGAAGACAGTGGGTCAAAGGAATCTTAAGATATTGGGCGGACAAGCTTTTTCAGTCAAGGCCGCTGTTACCTTGACCTTTGACTCAGTGACCTCATAATCTATAGGGGACATCTCATCATGATTAACCTCCATGCCAAATATGAAGACTGTGGCTCAAAGGAATCTTTAGTTATTGGGTGGACAAGGAAAAACCGATGGACGGTCGATGGCCAGACACCCGGATGGCTGGACGGACAAGCTGATTCCAGTATACCCCCCTTACAACTTCGTTGTGCAGGGGTATAATAACAAAGTAATAATAAATTATTTTAGCAAATTTGAAAAATTTGAACTTGACAGTAATGGGAATGACAAAGGGTCCAACAATGACAGCCTGACTGTAGCAAAAGCTCAAAAAATTTCTTAAAATTTTTTGAGCAAATAAGCAAATTAAATTTGCGTGAAAAACTCAGTTTAGTTTGGTCTCTAATTAGCAGTCATTACAGCTTAAATGAAAAAAAATACAGTTTTTTGGATTGGAATGACAAGACAGACTTGTCTTATAATGTTGCCAGTTTACTGTACATCAGTGCCTTCTGACAATATACTGTTAGCTTTTTGAAATTTTATGAAGATGAATATTTCATAGACAGACCCTCAATTAGAATTATAAAGAAGTTAAAAGTTAAAACCAATTTTTTAGAAACTTTATAAATGATGTATAAATCTGTATGTATTACTTTAAAAAAGCACAAACCTTTCACAACAATTTTACGCTGAACACATGCAGCTCAAGTACTGTACACGAGTAGCTCAATCTTGCTGTCTGACTGTATCTGAAATTAATTAAAATTTGAAAGCTATTAATTCACTAGCTAAATTTAACTACAAAATCAAGGGCATAGTTTGTATTGAATGTCTAAATTCTACAAAAACAGAAACATGTAACAAGAGCACTGCTAAGGTAATAGTGACCTTGACCTTTGACCTTGTTACCTCAAAATCAATAGGGGTCTTCTACCCAATATGGAAAATCATCCTATGAAGTTTGAATATTGTGTGCCAAATGGAACTAAGTTATGCTCAAGAATTCGTTTTCAATTTTTAAGTAATAGTGACTTTGACCTTGTGACCACAAAATTAATAGGGGTCTCAGGGTTCTCGGGGACGCTTATTTCGGCGTCCCGGTACGCATGTTTATTACAGCTGGACGCAAATATTTCAGAGCAAGGATTCCAAGTACGCTTAATTTTGCCTGAGGACGCATAAACATTACTGATTGTTTACAGGCACAAATACACAAATGCGTCAGCGAGTGTCAGTCTATAGGTAGGCAGTCCTATGCACATCGACCTGTGAAGCGATTAGCCAATCAGCGATAATGCTTCTGATCATTATCCCGCAATAGTGATCAGACTAATGTATACACGCACTGTACAGTAGATGTAATTACCAGATATAACACAAGGTGATAATTTTGTATCTTTGATCAACAGTTGATTGGAAATTAGCAAATTTTACCGACAAAAGGAAAAAATTATCGACTATTTACGCCGCAAGTTAAAAAAAACTGTTTTCTCAAATTACAAATGAGTGTAATTTTGAATGATTGTCGAATATTTTCGGCATTTTCTAAGCACAATTTTGCTTTAGTTTCTTTCTTGCAAAAACTTTCTATAAGAGTATTAAGAATTTAAGATATTGTGCCGAAATGCCAGGACAACAAACCAAAATACACATACTGCAGTATGCTTTTCTTTGATATTTAGTTTCTACCCGAAAATGATCCCGAACATCGGCGATTTCACGTTCGCCAGAAACCCTAAAATTTCGCAAAAATTCTCGGTTTCCAAGCCCAACATGCGGATGAATTGTTCCTTTATTATTTAATCAACATTAAATCTTTAAATATCGATCTTCAATTTGCCCCCTTTTGAAGATATTTACTAAGATAATTGTCGATCGGATGAATCTCTTACACACTGTGTGAAGCTGTACACGATTTTCCTATTCATTCCGCTAAACGCTGCCTATATACATTTACGTTTTTTTACAAATATAAACTTTTTGTCTTTAGTGTGGACTTATTTAACAAGAATAAAATTTGATTTGGTATAAAAGTGAGGAAAAAAAACGATTTCCATGTGTTAATGCATTGTAATGAAATAATTTCATAATAAATACTAACAACAAAACAATAATTATACTACGTAGTTCAGAGTTTCTTTTGAATAGCTATAAACTTTGGAAGTCTCTTGAAGATTCAAAATATCAGCAATGCTATATTGTGAGCATTGAATGACTAATCTGTAAACATATTAATTGCGACGCGCTTTTGGACTCCAACTTTTTCAGGGTTGGGAGTCCATGGACTCCACGTTTTAAAGTCCTAGTGAGAACCCTGGGTCTTCTACCCAATATGGACAATCATCCTATGAAGTTTGAACACTGTAGGCCAAATTGAACTTCAGTTATGTTCAAGAATTTTTTTTTAGTTTAAAGGTAATAATGACCTTTACCTTTGACCTTGTGACCACAAAATCAATAGAGATCTTCTACCCAATATTGACAATCATCCTATGAAGTTTGAACACTGTGGACCAAATGGAACTTAAGTTATGCTCCGGAAACTGTTTTCAGTTTTAAGGTCATAGTGACCTTGACCTTTGACCTTTTGACCCAAAATCAATAGGGGTCTTCTTCCCAATATGGACAATCATCCTATGAAGTTTGAATATTGTGGGCCAAATAGAACTTAAAATATGCCCCGGAAACAAAATTGCTAACAGACAGACGGACAGCAGGGCTGGAAAGTAGCAGTCGCCCAGTCGCCAACGGCGACTTAATTTGTAATTGGACCACCAAAAATTTCAAAATAGTTGTCCAGTCGCGACTTAAAAAATCTGCCGTAGATTTAATTAATATCCGCCATTAATTCAACTCACATGAAAATTCAAAGGAGCAAATTGGCTCCAAAACTATTAAATTGGCTCGAGAAAATCATGATTGGCTCAAACTTACAAAAAGTATTACTTTTGGAATCTCCAATCTAAATTTAGCATTTGCTATTTTAAGAATGGAAAAGTACACATTTGGTTTTCCATTTTTTATTTCCGCTTTATCGCTTCTTATCTCAAAACACAGCGACACAGTCTACTTTTTGTGGGTCATTGACTGGTTTATATTTTTATCTTCTCTTCCGAATTAAATATTGATATGAACAGTAACACAGTCTAATACACTGGCCCTCACCATTTGTTTACATCAGCTGATAAATATGACACTAATTATCGTGAACATACCTGGTAGATTGTTGAATATGCATTGGAAAAATTTAATATGAAACAATAAGTAGCGGCATCCCAAAATTACTCAAGATTATCAGATTATCGCTAATCAAATCTGAAGTTTGGGTATGAATTAGCAACAGATTATGTTCTGCAGTTGACAACTTGACCTGTTGACGGTAAGTTTGCATTCAGTAAATCTTATCATTGTTGATCAAAGAAATTATTAGTTAAGAGTAATGGTTGTTTTGAGTAATGGTTGTTTTTTTTTATTTTTGTGTTTTTTTTGTTTGTTTTTTTCTTTTTTATATTTTTTGGGGGAGGGGGTTGATTGCCATTTAATTCTGACCTAATTATGCAGTGTTTTTTTTCACCAAAATATTTGGCGAAATTCTCCCCATTCCCCCCTCAAAATAGTATGGTTTTTTCCCCCCTCAAAGCTGAAATTTCCCCCTATAATATGGCAGCCCAAATTTGCCTGCAATGAATATCATTTTTGTGTCGCCTCTACGGAGTAGTGGCAACATATAGGGATCACTTCTCCGTCGTCTGTCTGTCCGTCTGTCTGTCCGTCCGTCCGTCACAAAACTTGTCCGGACTACTCCTCATAAACTACTGGTGCAATTTCATCCAAACTTTACAGGAATGATCAGTACCAAGTCTAGTTGTGCATATTGTCAGGATTTTCCGGTTCAATGATTTTTGTCAGAGTTATGGCCCTTTAATAATTTTTAAAGCTTGTCCGGACTACTTCTCTTATACCACTAATGCAATTTCAATGAAACTTTACAGGATTGATTTGTAGCTCAAGTCCTTGCGCATATTGCACAGGTTTTCCGGTTGAATGATTTTTGGCCGAGTTATGGCCCTTTGATAAAAAGGTTTCTTTTTCTGTGTGTTGCCAGATACACAAAAGCTTGTCCGGACTACTCCTCATAAACTACTGGTGCAATTTCATCCAAACTTTACAGGAATGATCAGTACCAAGTCTAGTTGTGCATATTGTCAGCATTTTCCGGTTCAATGATTTTTGTTTGAGTTATGGCCCTTTAATAATTTTTATTTCTAAAGTTTGTCCAGACTACTTCTCTTATACCACTTATGCAATTTCAATGAAACTTTACAGGATTGATCTGTAGCTCAAGTCCTAGCGCATATTGCACAGGTTTTCCGGTTGAATGATTTTTGACTGAGTTATGGCCCTTTGATAAAAAGGTGTTTTTTTCTGTGTGTTGCCAGATAAGCAAAAGCTTGTCCGGACTACTCCTCATAAAACTACTGGTGCAATTTTATCCAAACTTTACAGGGATGATCAGTACAAAGTTGTTAGTCTAGTTGTGCACTGTCCGTCTGTCTGTCCGTCTGTCACAAAATTTGTCCCAACATGAAATTGGCCATCATGAGGCGACACATGTGATTACTGATCGCTCTTGTTTTTCCACTAACTGCCGAAAAATGCTTTATTTTATGCCTGTAAGACTTACTGTTAAGCAAGGTTTTTCAAATAGGTAAGGGGAGCTACTCCTGGTATCCAAACAAGTTTATCATGTGACACATCAATATTTTAGATCCGTATAAAAATCCCCCTCCTATTGCATTTTTCCCCCTCCAATGGGCACCGACCCCCTTCCCCCAAAAGTGAAAAAAAACACTGTTATGCCTTTAAAAGGAATTTATTTGACATGTAATTTGGCTTTACAGAGAATTCCTGGGGATAAAAGATTGACCTTGATTTGGCTTAAAATCAAATTTAAGTTTTGTAACCCCTTAAGCTCTTGCAGAAGTATTCAATTATAAATGGCTTATGACTGTAAAGAACGATTCAGTTAAGAATCATACAAAATGCCTTCAGTTAACTTATACTGATTCCTGTACACTTATAATGACAGTAGTACATTGTGATTTTATTCCTGAATTATCTTTAGTTTAGAATTATTAATATTATTTTCTACACTCTTCTTACTATTAAATTCAAACTTGTTTCTTCTGTAATATTATTTCAGAAACAGATAGACTTAAAGCCAAATCTTTGTCATTAACCAAGCAAGCTGAAGCAGCACATTGGAATGTGTTTCTGCTGTTACTGTCATGCCACTGACTTAACCAGGCAAATGTTATAGCTACTGCATGAGCTGGAAGCTTTTATGATTATTGACTGTAAATTATATAAGTTTGATGTGTTATTGTGATAAAAATTGTAGGTACCAAAATAAAAGTGGTAAATGTAGTTTATGTTTTTCTAAATACCTCATGCCATACCATTTTGCCTTATTTGAAAATAAAATACAGGCATGCAATTTTCGCTGCTAAAAAATTGGCTAGAAAAATTTTGCCAGTGCCAGCCTCATTTCCGTTCATAAATTGTTGGTCCACTAATATATTTACTGGGCCACCAAAAGTTTACAGTCAGTGGCCCAGGTGGCCACCAAGCTTAAATAGTTAGTTTTCATCCCTGGACAGATGGACATACTCACAAAATGATACTTATGTGACGTTTCCTTTGATCTTTTTGGCCATTTATAGTCACAAGAGGCTAAAAAAGACACACA